TTAAAGTATATCGGGTAACACTAAACAGATATTTTATTTATATATATATATTACCCACAATGTGTTGGATTTTACAGTCAAACTAGTTTTATTAAATATTACGACCACCGCAGTTTTGGGACTGAGCCAGATTTTAAAAAAACTAATTTCCATTGTAAAAAATAAGTATATTTTTATGAATATAGATTAAAGTATATAGCAGCGTAATTTCATACTTTTTTTTTTCTGAGGCTTAATGTTTAGTTGTTTCATTTGCCATGTTTATAACTACAGTTTTTGCTGCTCATAAACGTCCCACGATATTTGCTGCAGTGACATTATTGTGCGCATACAAACGTTAACAATTACTGAGAGAAGCAGCCTCTCTAATCATTCAAATAAATCAATAAAGAAAACATACTCGTACACTAATACAATATATGATTTTGACTGAAACATAGCCTAGAGTGACTGGGGGGGTTTGGGGTGTCCATGTTGGGTGCGAAAATAAAATTGTTATTCAGGTAACACTAAACAGATATTTCTGTTGGATCTCCGACATGCGCCTGTCTCTGAATTGAATGTTCAACACAGCCCAAAAACTACAACTATAACTTAACAATAATTCATGACATGACACAGACCAAAAGGTCATTAAATTAAAAAAAAATTTAAAACACAGGAAAATTGGGGTGAACCCTAATCGAACCAAGCCCAGCGGGAAATTTGAAAAATGACAGCCCGGATCGGCCCGACTGGGTTCTGGGCAGAGAATCAAACACCCTGAGTCAACTCACCCACGCAGGAGTCTGTGTGTTCCTCGAATCCGGCAGAGCACACGCATCTTCCGATGGGCACCAGCCACTCGCCCTCCGCACTGCAGTACATCTTGGGCGTGTCCCTCTCCTCCGCGTGGTCCACACACTGACCCCTGACCTCCACCAGGGAGGACGAGTCGGCACCCGTCACCACATCGGTGAACACTGCCAGGTTGCGGCTCACGCCCACACAGCGCTTGTAGTACACCCGCACGGAGGTGAGGGCAATGCAGGCGCCGATGTCCTGGAAGGCCAGGTAGAAGCCCCGTCTGCTGAGGGGGCCCACGCCTCGCACCTGGGGAAGGGAGGGTTTGAGGTCATCATGAGAGTGTTAACAATCTGTTTTCGACATTGACAGCAAATACTAAACAGGACATATGATTAGTGAGAGTGTGTGTGCAGTCTTTATATTAACAAGAAGGAAAAAAGGCATTAAAGTCCCTATTTGCTGCATGGTCTCCTGAAAGTTACGTTCCCGTACAACAAATCTGCTTTGTCAATGTACGCTTGGAGGAAACGTACTTCCTCCTGGATTACGGTTGTTTTTGACATATCACAAGAACGCTTCTAATCTCAGTCTGCGGTAGTCTGAGGTCAGGGTGGATGGTTTGGTCAAACAAACACAGCAATACAGCTGTTCGTATCTCGCGTGAAATCGTTAAGATATTTAACGCCACGTATTAAGCTAAAGCGACGTAACAAACACTTATTCAAGCCAAACCAAGATCTTTTACGAAAACCCGGTTTTCTTGCGTTTTTTGTTTTGTTTCAATTTAAAACGTTAACCCGGTGTTTAAAACTGCGATCGTAGTCTGGGAGGAAATACGTTTCCCTCGATATGTTATTGAAAATATAATTTAGGTCTATAGGAAGGTAATCTTTTTTGTGATATTAACATACCTCCACAAATTCAATAGCGTGAACACACTCACAATATCTTGGCTCCTCCAGATTCCAGATATTTATAGGACATGAAATTGCGTTTGCACCCAATTAAGGGAAAATGGTTCGCGGTAGAAAAACTACACCCACAAAAAAAAAAATGTAAGGACCCTGAAACTATCTCAAACAAGTACTACAGGATTTAACGGTGCACTCCTGTGAAATTGTTGGCCTCAGGACGGAGAAATTAAAAACAAAAAGCAGAACCAGAGATATCAGCTTTTTTATTTAATGCATTCTTCTTCCTTGTTAAAATCTGGCATCTGCATTACCCACAATGCAACTCAGCTGCCCACAGTTCAGTCAGAAATATCTAGTGTGTTACCCTGGTAGTTGATTGATAACTGATTAAATTAATAATCTGCTTCGTCAGGACTGTCTGGTTTGCTTAGATCTGCTCAACTGTGATTGGTCCACGGTAGTATTTGCCTTTTTCCAACCGAAGCGAACCTTCAACGCAGTGAGAAAAAAAAAAAAAATCTCTTATTTTTGGTATAACCCCATCACTTAGAATAATACGCTTTCAGGGCCATTAATTGACGCATTTTGTTGTGAAATACTGGATAGATATTATTTTTCTAACCTGTAAGAATTATTTCAATGTTCAGCGGTGTAACAGCTCACAACTCATAACAAGACAAAGCTTCATTTTGAGAGGTCGTTATGCAGAACAGGTTCCACTACCCTAAAGCACAAGGCAATATCACCATATAACTAAATCTACTCTCAGTCCTGTACACGGGAGACATATGAAACCTCTGTGTAATTTTGCCTCGCTTACTCGACAAACTTAGTTTAGAACGTATTCTTGGGGAAGTTTCATCCTCAAAGCTCAAACAGTGGTTTCCCAACAAACGCAGGTGGAAGCAGTGTGAGCGCAGCCTTAATGTAATCTCTGGACTGGTGTTTGGTGTTGTGCTTTGGCAGCAGTCATTAATCATCTGCTTCGCCTCCAACAGCAGCCTGGAACCACGGATGTTTTTACATTTTTATACACTTCTTTTTCATCTCGTATCACAGTTGATTATCTTTTTAACACCTGGGAACTGATTCAAAATACCGTTTCATAAGTTTGTTATGGAAGCGTATGAAAATATAAGGACAGCTCTTTCCGTAAATGATTCTCTCTATTTTCCCTCCACTCTTCTGTTTATTCCCACCACGGCTCTTTGTTCACCATTGTACACCATGTTATCAAGGGGAAATGAAGCTCCCTGAGCTAACGAGCTTGCTAACGGTCAGTTAGCAAGCTCGTTAGCTCTTCAGCTTAGCTTGGTTTAATGGCAAAGACATATTGGTACCGTGGACTCCTGTCTCATAACCGTTTGTAAACCATTCCTTATTTATGAAGCAGTTATTACTCCGACTGAGGAGGTTAAGTAAAAGTGAACGGTGTAACGACGCTATTAAGCCACGTTACCTCCATTTTGGTCTCTCCGCTTCACCGTCCCCTCATAAGTCACAACTGTCTCAATTGCTATTCGTCTAAAGCAAAGTTCGCTCGTTCACCAAAGTTGGACTCCATGTGAAAAAATGGCGGAATGAAAGAAAGTACATTTAAATAAAGAATGTCAGACAAAGTAATTGTCAGCCTCAAAGATCTACATTAACTAAAATCATATTACATTTTAATTAATATAGTAGGAAGGTAAACTATATGAGAATATATATAGAATGTAAAATAAATGTTAAAAATCACCAGAGCACCAAATATAAATTGATCTGCAGCTAAAATTGGCCCAAAAATGCACTTTAGTCTCCTGTTTGAGTTAAGTTTGCTATAAAGCTACAGTCCCCAGCTGTTTTAGGAAATGACTGATAGTTTTCCAAAATGAAGCCTTTGTAGCTACTTTTAAATATTATCTGCTTCAGTAGGAAGCAATTAGCCTGGGCCTGAGCCACAGACAGTGTCGGGAGACGGACCGCCGTGTTGTTTTTGGTCTGTTCCTGAGATGTGTTGACTTTTATATTTGTTATATAGTTGAGCTCAGGAATCATGAAAGATTAAAAAGTCAACGCAAAGCCCCTGTACCAACAAACCCCCAAACTAATTGTAGTCTTTGTGTTTCCTCTAGCTAACTCAGGATTAATGTGTCGCAAATGTAAAGTCGACGCTCAATGAATTATACCGCGTCTTTCAGATCCTCATCTTTGTAACGATGTAAGGTACCAATAAAGAGAAAAGCTCCACTGTTTGATATCAAATTTGAAGCTTTTATCAATATCAAAGTATTTCCCACGATACCGAACTGAGCCCTACTGTTTGTTTTCTTTTTACAGATCTGCAGAACTCAGCGCAAAACAGCCTGAGTGACGAGACTGGAAGAGGCTCTCCGGGGCTGTGGATGTTTCCAGCTCGCCTTCAACTCATGCGGAGGTGTGCGTGTTGAGAATTTGGAAAAAACGATTCAGAAAGTGAAATATATGTATGCTTCAAAGAGCCTGGACTGACATTGTACCTGTTGCATCAGTCAGTATCCGTGCTGTTGCTCATACCTCGGTGTTGAGTTTGAGTCTGCGGACTCCCAGGTCCACCCCCGTGAAGCTCTCGTCAGCAGCGATGGTGTCGATCTTGATGAACTGGTTCTCCCGTACGGCCGAGCCCACTGCTCTGTCAGACTCGTAGTAGTACAGGTTGAAGGTTTCCTGAGGAATAAACAAGGAAGCATGAGTACTGAGTGTGTAATGTAAAGTACACCTAACATGAAGACTAGTGTAAATGCAACCGCAAGGCTTTAGATGGACTGAAAACACCTCTGGTGGTGGTGTAAACACAGTTGTTCCCATACCGACACCAGTATCAGGAGTTGCCTCTGAACTAGTACTACACACCTGTGGTTAAACCCTCTCGTGCACCATTTCTCCCCTGATGATGCTACATTGTGAACAACTAATGTTCTTTTTTTTTTTTTTAAATCAATAATTTATTTCCTAATCATTTGAATTGTGTGTTTTTATGCAAAACACCACTATGTCTTTTAAAAGTGAGCGGTATGTCAAAAGTCACAAAAGTACTTAAGTAGGAAATAATTTTCCTGACTGGTTACAGGCCATTGTGAGTGTCTGAATTGCATAGGAGTTTAAACAGACTTCATCAGAGATTGTGGTTTTGAAATGCTTACTATTTTACTATTGGGAACATTTAAAATCTTTATTTTTGCAGTATCGTCTCCCTCTCCCACACATGTCCACCCTCATTCTCCCTCCCTCCCTCCCCTCTGTGTCTGAGTGTTACCTTGCAGGTGCCCAGTACTCCAGGCATGCTGTTGCAGTCTCTCAGGGTGAACTTGACCTCGATGTAGATCCTCCTCGCTCCGTCTCGGGGGAGCCAGCTCGTCCTCAGCCAGTTGTTCTGGCTGGGGCTCATCACGTTACAGACCTGATTGAGAAAAAAAGTGTTGTAATCAGCATCTCCAGCAGCAACATACATAGTCAATAAAAACAAACATTATGTCATTTTGTCCACAGTCCTGTGTGGTTCTCTATTTGTTTGGAAACGCAGAGCAGCCGGTAGCTTTTCACAAAGCCCAGTCGCTGTGTGGGACGGATGATGGACGGGCCAAACAAAGACAGGACGTTCATCAGGGGTGCCCCCCTTCCGTCTGTTAGTCGACTGACAGGTCGTTCAGGTCTAAGATAAGGCATTTTTTTATAGCTTTTTTTGAGGCCAAGAAATTCATGAACACACCTCTGGAGGCGGGGCTTTAGTGTGTTTCTTTGTGAAGAAACTCAGTTTCACTAACAATGCCACTAACAATGGCTTTGGCCGAGAACAAGAGCCCACTGTTAGTGTGAAACCAAAAGTAAACGCTGACCTTACGCTTGTTATTTGACGTTGTTACGCTCTTTACATAATGTTTCATAAGTCCGCCAAGTTACCGTTTTTATCCGTTATTTTTTTCTAACCCTAACCAAATAGTGTTGTTACCTTCACCTAAGCAATCGTTTCACAATTTATCCACGTAGCATCCTGCGTATCTGCAAGAGTGACACAAGGCTGATATGAAATATATTTTTTGTTTGCAGAAATGTACAATGCCAACATTCTTTCTGCCGACTGGGTAGCTTCACAGCAGCTAATATGTATTCAGGTGAGGGAGCCCGAGCTGACATGAAGATGAACCTCCACTCAAAGACTGGTAGACTGGTAGAAGAGTGTTCCTCTCAAATCATAAAGTGCTTCCTGCTTTGTGTCTCCAGACGCACATTGTGACATTTGTTCACCGAACTCAACCCGGTGTCACACAATGTAAAAAGCAGTTTATGATTATGTGGAAGTTACTTTCCTTGCCAATGTTAGAATGCTCCACAAGCATGTGTAACACTGAAACATGCAGGTAACATGCCCTGTTCTCTATTTGCTACCACTGGAGACACTGAAGTCTTTCTTTTCTGGGCTCTGCTGGTTGGAGTGACTTGGCTGGAGTTCATGACCTACAATTAAAAAAAAACACTTGATGGATATTTTATTGGCTGTTTGTATGATTTTTTGTGTGTGACTCAAACCATTTAAATGGAACCACTTTTAAATACATGTCTTAGTCATCACTTAATCAAACGTTTCCCCTACCAGAGTGTTGTTGAGAACACTTTGAAATCACATCCTCATGTAGGGAAATAGCAGTTATAGACTAGGGCTGCGACAAAATATTGTTTTCATTATCAATTGATTTGCTGATTAATCATTTTGGTCTATGTGTGTAATGCACAGGCTTATGGGGGCTGAAGCCCTGGGACCCGACGACATAAATGGGCCCACGAGGCTCAGGGGAAAAGTTTAAAATTCACAGGGAGAGACTTTGTGTTGTACTCCCGACATTACCTCCCTAAGCAAAGACTTTGCCAGACATCAATACCTGCCGTTGTTGTTCTCATATTCATATTTTTGCAACACTCGTGAGTGGACAGAAAAGAGCAGGCTTTGTTGTTGGACATTGGTGCTCCCTTTTATTATACCCGTTCAGACTTATTTGCACTTCAAGTTATTATTATTATTGGCCAACATGGATCGGGCCCGTAGGCTACCTTCTGGTGACACAATTTCTGTATGGTATGGTTATGTATGCTTCCCTATGGCCTTATAATGGTGATATGAGTTCTATTTGATGCATTATTGTGTACTGTTGTTCGTTCAGGTCAGACCGGGCAATGGTGGAGTTGTGATGGTGCTTGGGGGAACGAGGGAGGGCCTTCAAAAAGTCGTAGCTCCGGGGGCCATGGTACTTTAATGCAGCCTTGGGGTCTATATGTCAGAAAAAATTAAAAAGTAAAAGAAATGTGAAGTCTTTAAATTACTTATATTGTTCAGCCAACAGTCCAACTGTTAACGGCATTACATTCACTACACTGAGAACACTAGCCAACTTTTAAGAATCTGAAACTACTGAATTTGATCAAAAGAGTGTTGCTATCAGCTGCTATTCAATAAGACAAAATCATTTAGCACCAAGCTCTGAATAAAGAATAATATCATTTTACTGAGCTGAGGATTATTGTGTGCTTAAACAAACCCACCTTCTCAAAGCCACAACCGTCATAGAAACCCATGTACCGCCTTGAAATATTACTGATTTATCTCAACTTTTGTACACCAGCAGGATTTTTTATTTTTGTATGATTTAATGAAAATGATTCCCATATAATCCAACAAATATAAAAGAATAACTAGTGATTAACTATCCAGTTTGTATTGTTAAATAATTCATGTTGAGGAAAAACAGTTTCCCAGAGATCAAAGTGATATATTCCACTTCCTGTAATGATGAACGTTACACACCTGGTACGTGTGGATGGGGCTGAAGTACTCGTCCATCTCGTTAATGGCATCCCACTGTGCAGAGAGGAGAGAAAAGAAAACATTCTTGGGGTCAGTCACATGTATCTCCATGTTTTTTTTTACAGATTCATACCATCTATATTTCCCACGTGACCGCCTGTGCCTTCCTTATCGCCTCGGAAGATTATTAGCTTTGACTTCAAATGAAACGTGTGGCGACTCCCTGTCACACAGGCGGCAGCCATAGTGTGAAGTTTCCGTGTCATATGCTCATTAGTGATGCACACTTTGACGATCAAAAACAACCTATTTTAAATCTTTTTAAATCTCCTCGTTCAAATTCTTTATCCAAAAGATTTTTTTTGAAATCTCAACAAACACTGTTAAACGTTAGATTAATGCTGGTTTTAAATATGCTAACGTTATTCTGTCCGGGAGGGCAACCGTTAACTCGAGCAATCATGTGTTCTACATTCCAGCATGTTGGAATTCACTTAATGTAATTCCATCAGGACACATTTTCCTTTAATGAGATGCCCCTTATGTATGTGATTAGATTTACATTGTTTGCTGAGTGCTGCCAGCGGGCCAATAATGGAGTTACGAGGAGGAACAGGAAGTGAAATGTGTTGGTACTTCAAAATGTGTTAATGTGCGTTACACCTCCCAGCGCACGGCCAGCACCCAAAGGAAACGCAATCACAGGAAGTAAAGTGTGTACCCCCCCCCCCCCTAAGTGTCTAGATCAGGAGCCGAGGAAAAGCCCAGATGATCTAATTGATTTGAATGCATCGGTTGGTATGTACACAGGCTCACTTGTGCAATGTAGGCCACGATAATTGAAAATAATTTCCTTTCCCTGCATAGATCCGAGCCCAACTCAACATACCCTAACAGAGACAAGGCATTATACATTATACATTATACTGTATGAGTTGTCACTTAAACTGTCAAGTCTTGGATAAACAGTGGAATGAGTCAATCGGACTTCAGGCCTTTAGACAAACAAAGCAGTACGGAAACATAAAAAAAAACATACACTGGGATGTAACAAAAGGCTCTGTAGTCTGAGTCAAGATGGCAAACTTTACTACTTAATTCAACCTTGACATAGGCAGCCTATACCATGATCCTCTGCTTCTGATGTTTTACCTTCACTATAAAAGCCTACACACATATACGCGAGTATTTAGCATTTTTTTGACCCTGGTGGTTAAAGGCCAAATCAGTATAGGAACTAATTTGATACATCCATTATAATTTTTGTTGCTAAGAGTTTGCGCTGTTATTTTGCGACAATGTCTGCACTGGCCAAAGCTTAATTTGATAGTATTTTTTTTAGAATAATTTTAGCTGAAGGGAGTTCCAACAGATCAATTTCAGATCCAGTTTTTAGCCATGCTAGCTGTTAGGCTATCGGTTAGTACACCTCTTTCCAGGCTAAAACATCTGAAACAACTATTAGACAGATTGATTACATTTTCGGTATATACGTTTATGTTCCCTTCAAGGTGAATTGTAACTTTGATGATCCATAATGTCTTTCTTTTTTCATCACCAGTGACATTATCAGGTCAGATCTTGTTCAATACTTTACATGTATGTCCAAATACCTGCAAAACCAATGTTGTCATAACAGACGAAAAATATCAGAATAAAAAACATGTAAAATCAGAGTAGCCTCCCCGACAGCTTACTGCCGCAAGCAATCACTGTACACCTTCTACTTATGGTCTTCATTGTCAGTGCAAATCCAGTCGCACGGTTACATGGTGCATTTGGATGTCAGGGGGAAAATAACATCCTCTCCCGCTCCTGTATTGGAAGGAAATACTGGCTTTATTCACGGTAACGTGGGGACTCAATTGCAGGGTGTCAAAAGTTCATGCAAACAGCTCAACCCAAACTCCAGGAGAATGAGAGCAGCTTTTTTTCCCTTCTCTAGTATATTTGCATGTGTCATACAGAGTGTAGAGGTCATTCAAGAGGTTAGAGATTTATTTAATATAAGGGTCTTATAATGACACTGACCACCAGTAGGAGACTGGCTGAACTGGGTGAATGTGACTGTGTTAACAGTGCTGGACTACGGGTGTTTTTTTTTAAACTACTATGGCAAAGGCATGACCCGCCCTACTCTGCCTCTGATTGGCTAACCCTGATATTCTTTCCCTAAACCCTACCTAATCTCACTCCCATGCACTAAACCTAACCAACCCATCCCAACCAGTGAGGGCAAAGAGGGGGAAACAAACGGGAAGGTCTAATAATGTCATTCTGCATAATAGTTATTGTATTTGTATTTTTGGAGTGATGGGCCTTCGGACCACTGGGCATCTGGTTTTGGGATAAAACGGGCTGTCGGACAAACGGGCGTTCGGTCCAATGGGCCAATTTTGTGATTACTGGAACTTTAGAATAACCGCAAGTCCCCCCCACTTTGTTTTCCATAAAAATGTTCAAGTCTGAGCAGGACACTTTGATCATCGAAAATGCAATTAAATTACAAACATCTGAAAATCTTAAAAAACCTGGAGGAGTTGCTCTTAAGAGCGTCGTCAGCAAACAGGTGGGGACGGATAAGGTTTCGAGTTTTATCATATCCTCCAGGAATTTGATTGGCTTGCTCAGTAGTGGGCGAGGTTTTGCAGGTGGAGCCATAGAGGACAACTTCAGGACAACTCGTCTACTCCTCCCTCGCCAATGTTGAGGAAAATCGAGGGAGGTGGAGGATGTGAGAAAGTAAATTAGAGCACAACCATGCTCTTTTGGAAATGTAAACAACATTCATGCCAACTGATTCTGAAAATGAAAGTTCCGTTGTGCTCAATTGTACAACACACACACTATTGGTCAAGTGCAACTCTAAGATGGGAAGGGGACATCTTGTCGTCTTAAACCATATTTGATTGGATAACGAGTGCAGGATGAGTTGGATTATTATCATACAACAATACTCTGAAATTAGAGGTTGCAGAGCCATTAGTTTTACTTATGAAATATATTTAATTACTTTACTGGGTCTTAAACGGTAACGTCATCTTGCAATATAAGGCACAAAGCTAAAATTCTTACCAATAAAGCTATCATTTTATATTTTAATTAATCCCGCCCTTCTCACCCAAATGAAACAGCTTTTCTCTTCTCAACTGATATTCTTACTGTGTGCCACCTCACCTAATTTCAACATGAAAGACATCTTATTAAAGACACACTTCAATTTTCTGAGTAAGATTCTTAGATTTACTCATCATAAAGAGTCTGTTTAATATGTATAGTGCGTAATGTCTTCTGTGACTAATAATGAGCTTTCTAAATCTCAGAAAATAATATCAGCTTGCGTTTAAAATTACACATTTTGAAGACTTTTTTTGATGTCTCTGGCAAGTCCTAAAGATTACAGAAGTCTGGTACCAAATCAATTAAGCACCCCTTTAAGAAAGTAAAGATGCTATTTAATTAGGTCTTTAAGATGTGGAGGAGGGGGGAACCCCAATGCAGCATTTAACCCAGGAGCCCCCAAAAACACTAAGACCAGCCCTGTGTGTTGATGTAAAGCAGGCCGGTCCAGGAACAGAGAACGGTACTCGTTTCCAGGATTAAAAAATGAAAAAAAAAATTGTCAGTGGGCGTAAACAAAACCAGACTCACTCTGTGCCAAACTATATGACTTCCTCCTCCTCTAACGAGAGAAGGGCAGTCCTCCCATCCTCCCAATAAATGTTGACCTTTGACGATATGCCGCAATGATTATTCCGTGAAAACACAGCCAATTTGTGTGCATGTATAAATAGCAGGACACGCATGTGTATTTAACCCCAGTGTTACCCATGAGCATCCTGGGCTGGTGCGATCCTTGCGTGAGCGGCGGAGTAATTGAAAGGGAAAGCGTCGACCCCGGGAAGCTTTTGGGGCCACGCCCGGCTGAACTCGGCCTCGGATAAGACGACTGAGCTTTGCATGGAAGCCCTCCGACTCCTCTCCTCAGCCTCGACTCGTGCCCCTCTCCCCCAACCACGATCCCTTGACACACGCACACACTCCCCGAGGCACCAGCAGCCAAAAACCACTGGGATAATTAAGATGAAGGAAGTCTCACCCTTCCCTCCCTTCCTCATCCTCTCATCTTTATCTGCTAAATTGAAACCGTCCTTGAACTTGTGAGGACCTCGGCTAATTAGTGGGGTGTATAACCTCTCTATCGCCCTCATTATTCCCATCTTGCCATCGCTGCACTATCCACCTTTTTTTTTTTTTGGCGGGGAAATCTTATGATTTTTTTCTTCTATGTATTTTTCTCCCGGAGTAAAAAAATCCAAGCAGTTTAAGAGCAGATTTTCAGGAGGTTGGGAGCTGTACGGCAAAGCAGGGCGGGGAAGAGATTGTTGTTTAGTCTTGTAAATAATGTGAAAAAATGATTGCTCATTCTCAGCAGACATCCAGGGAAGAAGAAGAAGAAGTCGGAGAGATTCAGCGGGGCGTGTTTATCTTGTGAGAGCGCGATAAGAGAGTTCTCTATCGCAGCAACAACAGAGACGCAGTGCTTCACGGAGCGGCCCACTGACAGTGCAGTGTGGGCGTGTGCAGATATACTGTATATATGTGTCAGACAGATAGACAGACAGAGACAGAGACAGACAGAGTTAACCACAACCGAGAGAGAGAGAGAATGAGACATTAATTGGCTGTAAACTGAACATCTGTTTCTTTGCCTGTCAACTCATCGGATTTCTCATCAACTGTTCCCCCACACACCCAGTAACATAACACCAGATGTAAATGTACTGCAGGTACACACAAGTATAAGAATAGAAATATATATACTGGATGTTTCAATCATCTCCAAACTATGTCCGGACAAAAGGACGTTTCTAAGCTTAGCTGTACAAATTTGTTTCAGGTTTGATTTCATTTTTCAAAAGATACACACATTTATAATTGATCTATTAACACTAAATGTTGGCTAAAGACCAAAAAAAGTAATTGCCTTTACTCAAGGATTATTATTTTTTTGTAATAAAACTATGAATTTGTATCATTAAGATTTTAGTTAAAATAGTGTACATAGTACTGACTGATTTTTTAATTGAATCTGTGATGGGTCTGCTACCTCAAAACTACCTCAAGCGAGCTTAAACACAATTGTACGTTCCCATACAGCTATTCTAATGCTATACTTAAAAATGTGCATTAAATATACTTATGGAAACACGGCCAGTGTTACCACTGACACTACAAGGCTTTGTCACTTCCCTCAGTCTATTCAAAGGCCCGGGCTCAGGGC